GGCGCGGGCGGGCGGCGGCGGCGGAAGCGCAGCGGCTGGGGCGTCGGGGGTCGCGCCGGGCGGGCGGCGGCGGCCCGGGAGCGAAGTTCGGGGGCGCCCGGGCGGGGACGCGCGCAGGTCCGCGCGGCCCCGGCCCCTCTGCCCGCGCCCCGGGACCCGCCCCCGCGGCGCAGCGGCTTCTGTTTACTTTCGATCGAGTTTTTCCTGCTCGGGGCAGGTGCCCAGAGCGGCTGCGGGCGGCGGTTCCGCGCGGCCCCCCGCGCCGCTGTTTCCGCGCTGCCTGCGCCGGGCAGGGCGCTTCGCGGGCGCTCCAGGCGCGCTGACGGGCGTCCCGTTTGTGCCCAGGTGATGACGGCGGCGGCATGGAGTTCCCCGAGCACGGCGGGCGGCTGCTGGGCCGCCTGAGGCAGCAGCGCGAGCTGGGCTTCCTGTGCGACTGCACCGTGCTGGTGGGCGACGCGCGCTTCCCGGCCCACCGCGCCGTGCTGGCCGCGTGCAGCGTCTACTTCCATCTCTTCTACAGGGACCGGCCCGCGGGCAGCCGCGACACGGTGCGGCTCAACGGCGACATCGTCACGGCGCCCGCCTTCGGCCGTCTGCTGGACTTCATGTACGAGGGCCGCCTGGACCTGCGCAGCCTGCCTGTCGAGGACGTGCTGGCCGCCGCCAGCTACCTGCACATGTATGACATCGTCAAGGTCTGCAAGGGCAGGCTCAGGGACAAGGACCGAAAGCTGGACCTTGAGACCCCAGCCCCTCGCGCGGAGCGACCTGGTCAGCCACCATGTCCCTGGCCTGCCTGGACTCCTGACCTCTGCCCAGCTGCCCAGAAGACCAAGCTCCCCCAGGTTGGGGTCAAGGCTGCCCTCCCTCTGCGAGCATCCGGGCCTCCTCCCTGGCAGGCCCCAGAAGAGTCAGACCAGGCCCTGGACCTGTCCCTTAAGCCTGGCCAAAGGCAGGAGGTGGTCCACCCCCCCTGCATCCTCCAGACACCGCTCTGTGGCCGGCTGCAGCGAGGAGCCCGGCCGCTGGTGAAGGACGAGCAGGACTCACTGTCCGAACAGAACAGCAGCAGCCCCAGGAGCCCCCAGACCCCCCTGAAGCCACCCTGTGTTCCTGCAGCCGAGGGCCTGAGAGTGGGCTTGGAGCCACTGCCCGTCAGTGGCAGCCGGGAGCTGGAGCTGGATGCAGGGCGGGTGGTGAGTGAAGGTGAGCTGGGGCCTGGTGGGCACCTCTGCATCTGCCCACTGTGTAGCAAGCTGTTTCCCAGCTCCCACGTGCTGCAGCTGCACCTCAGCGCCCACTTCCGTGAGCGGGACGGCCCTCGGACCCGGCTCTCGCCCAACGGTGCCATGCCCACGTGCCCGCTCTGCAGGAAGACCTTCTCGTGCACGTACACGCTGAAGAGGCACGAGCGGACACACTCGGGTGAGAAACCCTACACCTGCATGCAGTGTGGCAAGAGCTTCCAGTACTCCCACAACCTGAGCCGGCACGCTGTGGTGCACACGCGGGAGAAGCCCCACGCCTGCCGCTGGTGCGAGCGCCGGTTCACGCAGTCTGGGGACCTGTACCGCCACGTCCGCAAGTTCCACTGTGGCCTGGTCAAGTCCTTGCTGGTGTGATGTGTCCCTGTGGGTCCTGGGGGTGGCGTGGAAGGGAAGGGGCAGGGCAGGTGGGACACTGGAATGGACCAGGTGGGAGCCTCTGAGGCTGGACTTCTGGACCCACTCTGCGGAAAGCACGCTGCCGCTTCCTGGAACACGGTCTCAGACTCGGGGTGACTTGGGCAGCCTTCCTCCTGCCTTGCCTCCCCTCCCCCCACTCCAGCTCACTCCTGCCCCCAGGCTGTGCCCTGCCCAGTCTGCCACGCCATCTTCCTCTCACCGTCCCCTCCAGCCAAGTTGCCAGGGTGTCCAGCGGGCACCTGGCTTTTGCCCAGGTCCCTGGGTGTGAGGCGGCACGTTCGTCTTCTGTCCGGGGACGTTCCTTACCCCTTCTCTGTCATACTGTGGGGGTATCCTTGAGAGCTTGGCCGCATGCCAGGTGAATGATTCACGCGTCAGATAAGTTCTTAGTGTGAGTCCCAATGGGGCGCTCAAAGGGAACAGGCTACTCCTGGTGGGTGGCAGCAGGAACTCCTGCTGGGAAGGCCTAGGGCAGGGAGAGTGCCAGGAGGGGCCATCTGGGCACAGCTGGTGTCACGGAGGGGGGTGTGCAGCCCCAGCGGGGATCCCAGACAGCAGGAGTGGAGCCAGCTAGAAGCTGAGTGGCTCCGGAGCTGCCACCACTGGGGTGGGACATGGATCCTGACTGCACTGTAACTTTGGGCAGAGAAAGTGGGAATTTGGAAATGGCTTCTCTTTAGACCCAGAAAGAGGCTCCCCAAGGTTGCCAGGTGGCCGCTGGGCTGTGCTGCCCTCTCGCCTGAGTGTGGGGCTGGGGCGCCTCTGAGCGTCTCCGGAGGTGGGGGGGGTACGACAGTAGTCCCCATCCTGAGCTGGGCTCTGTGTGTCACAGGCTGCTGCTAGGCCAGGTGAGCCTGGTCCTGAAGGTCACTCCCGTGCCTGCTAGGTAGGGTCTCTCCGGAGCTGTGATCGTTTGCAGAGCACTGGGCAGTGGCCACGGGAGGGAGGGGTAGGCGTGCAAGTGGCTTCGGAGTGGGGAGAGGGAGGCTGGCACTCCCGGAACGTGAACAGCAGGCCCTGCATTTGCAGTGGGTTTGGGTCCCCTGCTCCCCCCACCTACTGGGCGGGTGAGGGGCGGGGAGCCTGGCCCCGGCTTCTGGGGGCCAGCGGGTGTTTCCCCCACACCACCTGAGCTGTCTGCTGTGATTGGAAGTGGCACAGAGGACAGAGTCTGGCCAAGCCTGAGTTATTTTCTCTTCTCCGGACACTCGATGCCATATTTCTATGCCTGCCTCGTCTGGAGCGGGAGGACACTTGGCTGCCGCAGGTGAACCCGTCCGAGGTTCATTCCCACGTGCCGGACTCCCCAGGTGCGCGGGCAGCGGCCCGGAGCCCAGCGTCTCCCAGTGATGCTCAGGGTGGGGGGGGCCCCGGCTCTGGCTGTCCTGACTTCGACCCCCGCCTCGGGCAGTGCCAGGGGGACTTCGCACCGGTGTGATATGCTCATGATCGGGGGTTTCCGTGAGTCTGTGTGTGTGTCCGTGTCTGTCTGTCTGTCTGTCCAGCCCACAGCGGGGCCCAAGCCCTGCACATGGGCAGGCGCACCTCGGCTGAGCAGGGAGATGTGGCCCTGCCACCGCCGTGGTTCTCCTCGGGGAAGAACTTCCCTTTCCTGGGCAGGGCAGCCTGCCTCGGGTTATCAACACTGGAGTCTGTTTTCTGCGCAGTTACTGTGAAGTTAACGTAGAGAGAAGTGGTTGCTTTTAATTTAGTAACCGACACGGTTCAGATGAAGCGTGTCCGCGTGCATGTGTGTGAGACGCTGACCGTGCGGGAGAGCTCGCTGTGTTCTCCCAGCCGGCCCAGCCCCCTGCCCAGGTCTCGCTGCTGCTCTGCCCCTGGGGGTCGGAGGGTGGCTCCAGTGACCCCAGAGGACAGTTGTCTGTGCTTAGCGTTTGTCGGGAAGGTCTTATTTGCACGGACCCACCTGCTGTAGCCGGGACAGTCATGGAAGTGAGTGCTGTCTTCCTATTTTCACGTCGTGACAACAGTGGAAATAAAGCCCACCCCAGGTGGAGATGGCCGTGACTTGCTGGGAAGGGCCGAGCTTCCTGTCTCCAGGTGTGGGCTGGCAGCATGGGGTCTGGGCTTCTGGGGGCAGAAGAGGGCTGGGCAGAGGTAGGGGGGCTGGAGCAGGCAGGTGGCGCTCTTTCTCTGGGTGAGTCACCCCCTGAGTTTGGGGGAGGGGCATCCCAGGGAGGCAGGGTAAGGGCTGTAAATACAGGGGATGCCACAGTGGCTTCTGGCCCTGGGGAGGAGGCAGACCCTTGGAGGACACCTGCTGAGCCCTGAGCAGGGTGGCCCCAGGCCCAGGTCTTAGATCCGTGCTTTCCTAATTCTGTGGGTTCCATCGGCAGCCCCTCCGTCCAGCCCCCAGGCTACTGGTCTCCACTCCAGCCATCCCCTCCCTCCACACTGGTCACACCCCACTGCCTGGGTTGGGACTGGTCCCCCAGAGCCTCAGCTTGGGCTAGAGGTGGGCAAGGCCTGGCTGTGTCTCTCCTCCCTACCACCTGCACACTCCGCCCTCCCTAGTGGGTGCCACGAAGGCTTGGCCCCCTGGGGGTAGGGCGAGGTGCAGAGATTTCTAGAGCCCTGAGCCAGCCATCCTGGGCTCAGGCTGATGGGCGGGTGGGACAGTTCCGCACTCCCCACACCTCCGACCTGTCTCCCTGAGCTGCCCTGAGCTAGCCTTCCTCACTAGGCTGTCGGGCAGGTGGGGCGGAATGGCCTCCATGTCTCCGCTAGCTTCTTCAGAGTGTCTTCTCGGCTTGGGAAGGACCATGTGAGCCCCAGGCTCAGGGCAGAGAGGGGGCTGTGCTTGCCAAAGGGCCCCAGGAGTCAGGCTGAGCTGGTACCTGAAGGGTCTGCTCTTGTGGCCTTCCCCATCCTGAGCCCCGTACCTGTCCCTGCTCTGGGGGGGAGCCTGGGCCCTCGCCGCCCCTCCGTGCACCCACCCTGCCTCCCACTGAGCCTGGACCAGAGCCATGTCCTGCAGGATGGCCCTGTCATGTTCCCAGTGGGGACTGTGACTCAGCCCAGCCTTCCCAACCCAGGGGGAGGGGGAGGGGAGAGGAGGCCGTTGCCATGGTATCCAGGCAGGGGAGGAGAGTGGTCTCCAGTGCCCTGGAGGGAGGGGGCTTCCTGGGGCTCCTCCAGCCTGCCTGGCTCTGCCAAGCTGTGCTCACACTCAGGTCACTGCCAGAGCTGCCACTGACGCCATCAGTCCCAGTCCTGGTAGGGAGGCCTCCTGGCGCCCTGCTTGGGGCCATCGAGCCTGATCCCTTGGCCCACGGGTAAACTGTGGCATGTGGAAGGGCCCAGGACTGGCCCACAGCCCCAGAGCTAAGACGTCCACACACTCCAGGAATCTCAGCTGTGTGCCCACGGTGCTGGGCACGTGACCCCAGCACTGTCCAAGGCCTGGCAGCCTTTGGGACGGTGGCAGAGCAGGGCAGCAAGGACAGGGCCAGAGGAGGATGAGGGGCTGACTCTGGTGCAGGGGCTGTCCCAAGAAGCTCCCCAGGAAGAGTGACCTCGGGAGCCTCTGAGTGGACAAGAGGGAGCAGCACCAGGCGGGGCCATGCCGTGCAGAGGCGAGCCAGGGTGCGAGGTCACGTCTGCGGAGCCAGGATGTGAGCCCACGGTGTGGACGCGGCCACAGGGAGCCTGCCGGCTTTGAAGTGGCTTCAGCCCTCCCTCCCCGCCACTTCCCCAGCCCCACACACACCTGGTCTCACCTCTTCCCGACATTCACACATGGCACCAAACCCTTCGCTGGCACAGGGGTTTCACCCCACCTGACAGTCCCCAGCCTTGAGGCGGTGGACACCAAGCCACCCGGCCCCTGCCCTGGTCTCAGACTGTGGCTTCTCTCTCCCCCACCTCGATCCCATCCTGTCTTCACCAAACAACCCAGCCCCACACTGTCCTTATCATGGTCATCGCCATCAGCTGGCCCCACAAACTACAGCCAGGACCTCCACCTCCGCCACTGTCACCGTCAGCACTGTCACCTCCACCTCCATCATCACCTCCACCACTATCATTGTCACCATCACCATTGTCACCTCCACCATCAGCTCCACCTCCACCACTATCACCGTCACCTCCACCTCTGCCACTGTCACCTCCACCACCACCATCACCTCCACCTCCATCATTCACCGTCACCATCACCACTGTCACCACCTCCATCATCACCTTCACCGCTATCATTGTCACCATTACCATTGTCACCTCCACCATCAGCTCCACCTCCACCACTATCTCCATCACCTCCACCTCTGCCACTGTCACCACCATCAGCTGTCACTGTCACCTCCACCTCCACCACTATCTCTGTCACTATCACCATTGCCACTATCACCTCCACCTCTATCTCTGTCACCATCACCACTGTCACCTCCACCCCTACCACTATCACTAGCACCATCACCTCCACCTCCACCCCCACCCCCACCGTTACCTCCACCATGTCAATCACCGCCACCACCCCTACCACCTCCACATCTACCACCATCGTCACCGTCACTACTACCAGCACCTCCAGCATCAGCACCTCCACCATCACTACCCCCACCACCTCCACCTCCACCTCCACCACCATCATCACCTCCACCCCCACCATCCTCACCGCCACCATCACCCCCACCTCACCTCCACCACTACTACCATCACTGCCACCCACATCATCGCCACCACCTCCACCTCTGCCACCACCATCCACCGTCATTACACAACCGCGACCACTGCTACCACCGTGACCACCATTATGAAAGACCCCCGGCCAGCTTCCAGGGTGAGATGTAGGGCCCGATTACGTTCAGTCTGAGAAGTGCTTGGGGAAAGGGGATACTGCCCTTGTCACAGAGTGGAGGTTCAATATCTGCACTTCCCTCCTCTGAAGCCGTCAAGTTCCAGGGTGTTTTCTCAGTTCCCTCACCTCCGCCCTCTCACCTCCGCCGCGCCACACACCCGGAAACATAAGCCCGCGTCTCTGTGAAAGTAGGTCTGTACCTCTGCATTACACCTGCCACACCGACGCCTCCCAGCGCACACCCTCTGCTAGACGTAGCAACCTCCATGGCCCCCAGACCACCTGGTCCCTGACCCATCAGCCCCCCCGTCCTGTCCTTGTAAGCAAGTCATTTCTTCTCTTCCGCCTCAGTGTTCTCCCCTGTAACGTGGGAGTGGAGGCAGACAGCTGTTGAGAGGTGAATGGGGTAATGCCCAGTGAGCACAGCCATGGCCACTGAGTGTTGGCGGTGCTGTCGCCTCCCTCTGGGGCCATCACCAGGTCAGCAGGGAGCCCTGGGCAAGAAGCCGTGGCCATACGGCCTTACAGAGTGCCCCGGGCTGCCCCAGAATGTTGGGTGTGCTTGGGGGTTGCTGACGTTGCAGTCTGAGGACCACCGCTGTTGGGCCCCGGCCTGGCTCGGTCCTGCTCCTCAGGAAGGCCACTTGCTCCTCTCCCCTCCCCGCCCCGCAGCTGTCGCAGAGAATGGTGGGTGCCCTGGGCAGCAGCAGAGGCCCAGGGACAGCTGGCTGGAGGGCTGGGCAGCTCCAGACACGGCTGGCATGGCAGAAAATGCTGCGCCTGGAGCTGCTGGGGACCGTGACTGGTTCAGAGTGGCCCAAGGACACTGGTGAAGCCAGGCAGGGATGACTGAGCCCTGGGGCAAGCCCACCCACCCCAGCTCCAGGCCTGGGTGACAAGTGGCCCCCTAGAGAGGTCAGTGGGTCTCAGGGGACGGGGACTCACTGCCCTCAGTGGGACCCTCATGGTTTTGTTTTCACTGACTTAGACAGAAGTCTGTATGGAGGGAAGCCCTCCGTGCCTGGCCGGGGTGTGCCTCTCTCCTCCTTGGCTGCATCTGCCCCCACTGCCAAAGGGGACCACAGACAGGCGGCTTCAACACTGATGTTTATGGCCTCGCAGTCCCGGGCCATGGCGTCCCAGGACCAGCTCCTCCCAAGGCCTCTCTCCTGGGCTTGCAGACGGCGCCTCCTCCCGCGTCCTCCCTGTCTCCTCCCTCTGCGCGTCTGACCTCCTTTTCCCATGAGGACCCCATTCCGTGGGATCAGGGTCCACCCTAGTGACCTTATTTTGCCTTAATTCCCTCTATAAAGGCCCTGTCTCCAAACACAGGCACATTCTGAGGGACCAGGGGGCTGGGCTTTGACATATGGATTTGTGGGGGACACAGCGTTTCAGAAGAATGTGGAGGGGGCGGAGGGCGGGGCAGATCCCACCTGGCTCTGCCTAGACTTGGGCCAGCCACTGCACTTTTCTCGTCAGTAACGTCTTTGGATGTTTCTGCTTCTATCCTAGAACGTGCCCGGCACACTCAGAGCCCCTGGCTGACTCCTCTGCGGCGCCCTCCACGGGGTCCTCCCTGGGCAGGCCCCAGGCTGGACAGAGGGTCACCATCCCTCACACTCCATGACCCCTGCAGAATGTCTGCCTGCCCCTCCCACTCACAAAGTCCTGCTGTGTTGAGGCCCCGCCGTCCAGGTAGACCACCCACCCTCTCTTGCCCCACTGCCGGGCTCTCCAGGGAGGATCTCCCTGTCATTCCAGGATCTCCCTGTCATTCGCTGAAGGCTCTGAGCGCCCCCTCCCCTGAAGCGCCCCTCCTGTGCAGCATCCCCTCCCCTGCAGCATCCCTCCCC